CGCGACCCCCGCCGTGAGGAGAGGAAGGGGCAGGGGCGGCCGCGTTGTCCCCAAGCGCCGGGGCTGCTGCCCCGGGCAGCCCTGTCCCGCTCAGGACGCCGCAGGGCTGAGCGCCGCTCCCCTCCCCTGCTGATCCTCCAAACAGCCTCCCCTCAAAAAAAAAAAAAAAAAAAAAAATTCCAGTTGAAAATGTAAGCCCTGTAACCCCCTGCCCAGGCGCAGAGGGACTGCGGGAGCACTGAACGCACCAGCGCTCTGTGAAACCAGAGCTGGATGCTTTGGCCAGAGAGAATTCACCCACGGGGCCATGGAGAAGTCTCCTCCCGGCCCCTTGGACGGGACCCGGGGGCCTCCCCCGGCCCCATCCCGCGTCCTTGCCCCGGGAGTCGAGGCTCCCCGGCACGGAGGCGGCTGGAGAGGGGTCCCGGCAGCGGCATTAGGAGAAGTAGCATCTCCTGCACCCATAGCCCTGGCTGCTGCACACAGTATTTGGGGGAAGTTTTAAAACCCAGGTGCTTCTGCGGACGCCCACAGGTCAGCATGGCAAGCTGCTGAATCTTAAACCCAAATCCTTTTCCTACAGCTCCTGCTCCAGGCAGCCCAGCCAGACAAAGTCAGAGCTCACTTTAGTGCAACAGCCACACGCTCATCATCCTCCCAAACCGCTCCCCATCTCCCAGACCTCGGGGTTTCCAGGGACAAAGGAGCCAGCAGCAGGACAAGCACCCGTTCCCGCAGGATCCACCACCCCAGGCGCACCTATCCCTCCGAATGTCCCCTCTCCCGGGGGAGCTCTCGCCCGCCTTCACGGTGGAAGTTTCTGGGGCTTCAGTCAAGGTTTCAAAGGCTGGAATTGGCAAAGACGCCTCCGCATCGCCGGTACACACACGGGGAGGGGGAGTCGGGGTGCATATGCCACAGGGACACTCAAAAATCCCTGTCACTGAGGAACGAGGAGATCCCACAGCTCCGCGGAGCCGCGAAGACTCACACGCTCTCGGTGGCGCAGTTATTTATTTATTTTAAACGCTGGTACATGACATTTTTCTTCTTACGAAGGCGGCAGCAGCAGAAAGCCCATCACAGCCTCTCCTGAAAGCAGAGCCTGGAAACCAGAGTCTCATCTGCATATTCATAAGTACCTGATAAATTAATCATGATGGCAGAAGCATTCAGGCTAGAAGGGAGGTGACAGGGGAAGGTTGCACCCCCCAACACAAGCCCATCCTCACTCTCGCACTCGCTCCTCGTCTTCCAGGCACAAAATGTTTTGATCCCTTCACAAGTCGGCTGAACCCCCGGGTGCCGCGGGGAAGGGGCTGTGCCCCCCCAGCACGCGGTAGGCACCCACCAGCTCGCCCCCCACCCCTCCGGTCCCCGGCTCCGGTGAGAGATGCAGAGCAGATGGGCTGGAGCACGGTGGAGGACCCAAAATCTGAGGGAGCTCAGCTGCCACCGCCGCACCCCCCAGCCCAGCCGTGAGCTCTGCTCCCTTGTCACCGCCTGTCCCCAGCGCAGTCCAGCGTGCCCCAGCACTGCCCGACCTTTAGCTGATGCTAAAGAGTTTGACCCTAAAAATCCTTCCATGTCCTCTCTCCCCTTCGTGCTCTCCCGGCCGGGGGTGAACGGGCATCGCCAGCATTTCCTGCCCGGCAGCCCTGGAGTGGGATTCAGGCACGGAGGGCTCCTCTGGAAGGGACAGGAGGAGCGTGGCTGGCACAGAACCGCCGGAGGTGGAGATGGGGACGGTGAGGGGAGCCAGGGGAGTCCTGAGCGTGCCAAGGCAGAGGGAGCCGGCTCTGCGCGCACACCGCGCTCTCTGCCAGCTGCGAGACACATGTGGCTTTCCCTTCCCAGCGCAAAACGCTCTCCACAAGCAGATCCGCTGCTTGTGGTGTCCTCAGTGTCACCACGCTGAACCCCCTTGTGTAGGGGAAGAGTCACCCTGCCCGGGGCAGGGACGCTGCCTCCGGTGACAGAGGCAGAAATTCAACCCGAGGCTGGAGCCGAGCGAGCCCGGCCGCTTCTGCCGGGAGCCGCCCTGGGCAGAGCGGGCAGGAAGGGCTGAAAGCACCTGGGAGCAGAGCCCAGGAGGGTCCGGATGTCCCCCGATGTCCCTGACCCAGAGGCAATTGCAGAGGTGGCTGCCGGGCTGACCAAGAGCAGAGGGTCAGCACAAACCCAGCACCCACCGGTCACAGGGCTCTGCCCTGCACCCCCAACACCCCACTGGGGCTTGGAGGGCTCACATCTGGCATTAGGGAGTCACAGATCAAGCCCAAGCAGTTCAGCCAAGTCCTCGTGCCA